CATGCGGGAGCTGCACCCACCAGCAGGTGCGATACCTGCTACAGCAGGTGGGCGATACCGGCCAGGGGTCAGCCGGTAGCATCAGGACCGAGCTTCTTCGATGGGCCAGTCACTGTGCCTCCCCTCCGGTCCCCTCCCCCTATGAACATCAGCAGTCTCTGCTCAATGCCACTCGAGCTTCTTCGATGGGCCAGTCACTGTGCCTCCCCTCCGGTCCCCTCCCCCTATGAACATCAGCAGTCTCTGCTCAATGCCACTCGGGGGGACCAACGGCATATCTCTAGGTGGCGCGCACCAAGCTTGCCCAGGAAGGTGCATGAGGCCAATGGGGATCGAACCCAAGCCCTCCTGAATGCCACTTGCATGCCTTACCAACTGAGCTAGGCCAACGGCCTTCAGATATCATCGTGAAACTGACCAGCCACAAGCAATTCAGGAGGGAGATCCCACTAACGATGTATATGTGGAGTAGTGTGACGGCTGCGGGACGTGCGGGGGACATCCGTGTGGCATCCTTTACTCCGCGATAAATGTTGAAAAAAACAAAATGCCGCAATTCTGACAACCCAATGTTGTCCACCCGCGGCGAACTGCGGTCAGCTGTCAGGTTGTGGATTTTCTGATGATTCCGCTGGTATGTTGTGCATGTGGGCGGTTCATGGACCATGTACATGAGGCCAACACACATTTGTTAACGTTCCCCAACGAGAGGCTTGGAATGACAGACAAGTTGTGGAAGACTCTGACATCAACTGACATCCTTTCATGATGAGAAAAGGGGAACATCTTCATTTTCGGCCTCTTTTGAATGCATGGGCAACGACGTAAGTGGAAGGTGTGTGAAAATCCAACCAAAAAAAGTTGGTATGATTTTCACGCACGTTCATGACCCCCAGAGGAGCACCACAACAAAAGCAAAAGAAATGCCACCCAATGGGAGCCCCCCAAAAGTCATATGTTTTCCCACGCCGAAAACCAAGAAAAACAACACCACTGATCACCGTTCTCATCAACGGCGCCGAAGGGTCACACGCCCTATCCGCTACTCCACATACATCGGTAGTGGGATCTCCCTCCCGGAGGGAGATCCCACTACCCATGGATTTGGATTAGTGTGACGGGTGTGGGATGGGTGGGGGACAGGTGGGTGGCAGCGTGAAATAGGGAAAACAAATGCAAAAAACCATTTCATGACCAAACAAATGAAGGAATAAAATCAAAAAAAGAAAAGAAAGTGCTCTTCTCACAGATGGTGTCTGCTCCAGCCGGGGTGTCAGATGTCAGGGCATGATTCACTGACCATGGCTTGGAAGTCGAAACAACTGCATGTGAGCTGGCACATGGACCATATTCATTGACAATACTTTGAGGCTTCCTTGAAATGGGCCATATTCAAGTTGCACGTTACTGGGTTGTTCTGACATAACTTCTCTTTGACAAAGGAGGGCAAGAGTAACTGCATACAGCACTTGTAGGTGAGAGGATCGAACCCTCCAAAACACCTCCCAAACCACAATCACTTCTGCCTGTCTTCCAAGCATGGCCAATGACCACAATCACTTCTGCCTGTCTTCCAAGCATGGCCAATGACACAAGGTGAGTAGAAGGTGTGTGAAAATCATCACAAAAAAAATTGTTATGATTTCCACTCACATTTGGGACCCCAAGAGGAACACTTGTTCAAAAAGAAAAGAAATACCACCCAATGGGAGGCCCCCAAAACACACATATGTCCCGGTGCGTAAATACAAATAAAAACACACCGCGGATATCCAGTCCGATCCATGGTGCTTCAGAGTCACACAACCTCTCCACTACTCCACATACATCGGTAGTGGGATCTCCCTCCAGGAGTGACGTCCCACTTAAACCGCCAGTAGTTTTCCCAGCCATTTTCTCCAATGCAGCCGTGCACACATTCGGGGCTTGGATTACCGGAGTGAAATGGCTGATGGCGCCAGCCAAAAAGGACCCGGGCCAGTTCATTGTTTCTGACTTTGTAGGTGGAAATCCGCTTCCTTACACGAGTTTTCTTTGCCTTGTGGTTTATATCCATTATTACGGCTGTTGATCTTTATGATGCACAGGCAGGAATGCAGTATCGGGGCAAGCATCACCAGCGTCCAGGGCTCAGTTCTTTTTATTTTTATTTATTATTATTATTATTATTTAAACGCCCACTCCGGTGCTAGTGGTGCTGTTCAGAGCAGACACCGCGAACACCTGAGGAGGGGCTCCATCACCTGCTGGAAAACGGGTCCAGCGTCCCATATACAGAATGAATTTAGAGGATATCAAAACGAGTCGCCTGCCAGCATTGATTACTCTGGAATCCAGAGGACTTTTTTTTTTTTTTTTTTTGGGAATCCGAAACGGTAGAGAACCTCTTCGCCCTATGCCAGGTGCCAGATACCTGCTACTATAAACTAGTTCATCCTTAACCCCACCTATCCCTACCCACTCTGGCCCAGTCTGCCCGAGTCATCTTTACCACCCTGTCCCAACTGGCAATCCCTTATGGTAACTGCTGGTAGTGCGATCTGAGACTGTCTGCTGGAGCCTGGGTCCAGCGTCCCGTAGAAATCATCCCATTACATATCAAAAAGTCTGAAGCGTACTATGTCAACCTGCCAGCATTTATTCGCCCTTGTCGCCAAGGGCTTGACTGAGGTTCCATTTTCAAGCGTTTTTTTTTTTTTTTTTTTTTTTTTT